TATTAGAAGTTATGGCCATCATGGGTATACCTGCACAAATAAAACAGATAATGGTCCAGCTTATGTCTCAAGGAAAATGAAATGGTTTTTTGCTTATTATATTATTAAACATATTATAGATATACCATACAATCCTACAGGTCAAGCAGTCATAGAAAGATCAAATTGAACTATAAAGGATATGTTAAATAAACAGAAAGGGGTGGAAAATGCCCCCAGAAATAGATTACATAATGCCTTATTAACCTTGAATTTTCTTAACACTAACAAGAAAGGAACAACAGTGGCAGAAAGATAATAGAATAATCTTTCTGCTGATAATAGAAAAGTCTGCTGAACTAAATCAACCGGGTTTATTTCAAGGATGTGCTGACCCCTCAATGGAAGCCAGGAGATGTGCTCCATTGGGGAAGGGGTTTTGCTCTTGTTTCCACAGGAAAAGAAAAATTGTAGACAACATCAAAATTAATAAAGGTTCGGTTTGAAGAGAAGAAACCTCTTGGAAAGGAGAAATGACAGCTCATCCACAATGATGATAATCATACAGGTGGTAAGAAAAATATATAGGATGGGGGCAGGGTTCTGTTCTTATCTCCGCAAGAAAACACTATCTTTGAAAAATTCAAGGGACCCTGGATGTTTGAATACTGACAGATGGAAAAATAACTACCCAATAGGGACTATCAAGAAAACCGAATAGGTTCTATAAGTATAAAAATCTAAGATATACTAAATTATATTCCTAAATTTATAGAGCTGATTTTGGAGCAGTCCCTCTCTAATTCCAAGCCTGTTGTTAAGAGAAAAACCCAGAGTTTCTGTCTCAAACCAAGAGCCATGATATGGGACAGAAAGAAAAATGAATTTAGAAAACATCCTTGCTTTTCTTAATATCTATTTTTGTCTTTATCATGCCTTTCATTGAGTATATATGTCTGTATATGTCTATTTAATTAGTGTTTAAATTTTCCACAATGAACAAAGAGTTTTTCCTGCAGTGATATTTAAAGTTTCCAGGAAGAAGATGGGGCCCCTTAACAACAACTCCACCTGGTTGATATGACATCATGATACTGATAGCGCTATTACAAGTCCTGTTTTGGGTACCAGCTGCACAAGATGGTTCCAACTTGGTTAGCTGAAATGGTGCACATCTTTTACAACATTCTGGCCAGACCTTCACAAAATACTCAGAGACTATTTGCAATCTTACCAGACATTAATCTTGAAATTTAACCATCATTTTACTTTCACAGGATTCCCCAGAAAGAACGTCACCCCCATGACAGCTGGAAGTAATTCTAGAGGATGACGTCCCCTCTCCCAGTAAAGTTTGTCCTCAGGTTTAGGGACATCATTTAGGGGTTGATTATAATTAGTATACGGTTGAGGGTTGAGGGTTGGGGGAAGAATTTTATAAGCTCAGGGATCTTTTTGAAAGAAAAAAAAAGGAAAATTGGATGATGGGATAATAGATTGGTATTTGTGAGTTACTGTTTATAGATAATTACATTGGCATAGATTTTTGTATATGGATAAAAAATTAAATTATATTGAATATTGTTTGCATGTATGCTTCTGTTTAAAACATTTTCTTATGTATTGATATATATTGTATTGATATATACATATATATTTACCATATTGCAGTGTACATTTCTACCTTTGATTAAGATTCTTATATATTGTTTATGTATTAATATATTTACCATATTGCAATGTATACTTGTACACTGTTTACATTTGGAGGTCATTGTCCTCATTTATTGCAGTTGTTTATTCTCTTAGTCTTTAAGTTAGATAGGTATTAAGAATTGTAGATTAATAGTCATCTATGTTTGTCATATTTATAGTTAGACTAAACAGGTTCTTTAGATACACAGAAATTATATTCTGTATAAATAATCTTCAACCTCTTCAAAGAGCTGTAGAAAATGGCATTTAATCTAATTTAAGAGTTCTGTGGTAGTGAGACACAATCGCTCCTGGCAACACCGATCTATTCTTGAGGGATTGTTGAGCACCAAAGACACTCCACTTGGAGTTTGTCTTCTTGGCAAAATCGGCCTCTGGGCAAGGAACTGCCCATACCTCAACTACTAACAATATACACAGTATCCGGAAATGGATAAGCAGAACTGTCAAATCTTGCCAAGACAGGGTAAGATGGTTTTGAAAAATTTCTTGCTTTTAAAAATAATCTGTCAGTTATTCTAGGCCTTAGCCAAAGTTGGTTGCCTCAACACGACTTTGGGTGATTGCCCAGGTAGCCAGTTGTCTCTGTGATTTGTTGCATGTTTTGGAAGTTGTTTGATTGCACTTCCTAATTACTCAGGTAACATTATTTCCTTCTCATATCTTCAATGGGGTTGAAGACTAAGATAAATGTAGTTACTTTCCTCTCATGACTTGGCCAAGTTATTTACTATACAAGACTTAAGCTAGTTAGAATAGGATATTTGTTCTTATTATATATAATTTCGTAGTAGGTTTAGAACTCTCTTAAACAAAAGGGAGAGGTGCTGCGGGAGCTCCTTCTGCTTTTTCAGCCAATAGCTGCTGAGATACCAGTGCACTGGGGTGTGGTCTCTCTCTCTTTAAAAAGCAGCGGCATACCTCTGCTCGCTCTCTTGCTCCAGCGACTAGGCTCCTTTCCTGGCTGTCATGTAGGATGGTGTTCTGTAAGTTTTTTCCCCTCAAATAAATAACCCTTTGAATCCAAATTGGTGTGGGATTGTTTCGTGCATTAACTGTGACGTAGCAGTTAGACACTGGGGTGGGGGGAGTTCACAAACTGTCAAAACATACATGTGACCACTGGGTTTTCTTTTTCTAGAATGTGCAAGGAAAGAGTTTTATCAATAGGATTCTCTGACGTGTATGAGGAGCAGCTGCAACCATTCAAAACAGTGCCCATCCTTTGAAAACGATTTTCCTCCACGAGACTACCTCTTGGTTAACATTAGTTACACGTCTTCATCCTGACATATGCAAATGACACAACAGACTCATTAAAATGGCTCCCTACGCTATAGTAAAATCTGCTGGCTGCTATTTTACCAGCCAGAAGGTTCTACAACATTTGGTATTATTCCCTTAAAATCTTCCATTACATAGGACCAATGTAAAACAAAATTAGAGTGTTTGACTTTCTTGGAATTAAGGGAGATTATCTTTCAGAAGGCACACTGTCCAGGCCACAGGCCTGGCTGCTTTTCTCTCCCCCGCCCCCGCACCATCCATCATCCAAGTTACTCAGCAAATAAACCGCTACTGAAACCTCTCTAGCTCTAATTCAATTTGTTTACACGTTAAAACGTACTTGCTTGGTCACAGACAGGAGACAGGTAGAAGTCGGTGTTAGTATTCCAGCACACTGCATGAAAAAGCACAAGATGCATTTTCTCTAACTCCTGAGTGACATACAAGTTTCGCTTTCTGTGGACTTTTTCTTCTTTAATAAAAGCAAGCTTTCTCACTTGGGGAAGGTGGAGCTTCATAATGCCACCTTTAATTTAACAATGCTGTTATGTAAATATCTATCTTTTTTTTTTAAGTGGGTGATTGGGAACCTGGAACATTAAAGCTATGGCACGTGGATTAACATGATCATCTCTAGCATCCTGAGTGCTATTTAAGAGATGTCTTGCTGGCAGCTCTACATCACTGGGCTAATTAGCTTTCTGGAGTGTACAGCGTAAGTCAATGTGGAGTTAGTGTCTGGGTCATTCGGTAAGTAAGCTGAGTGGCTGGAACCCACTACGGAAAGGAGAATTTTCTGTGAGGACACTAGCAGATTTTCTCACAAAAGTCACCAAACTATGCTATTCAAACTCAACTACAGCTGTCACGGCCTTTAATCTAGAGTCAACTCAAAACAAGACTGTGCGAGCTTCAAGTAAGTTGTTCTCTTTTGGTGGAGTCGCGTTGTTTTAAGGCTCTGCAGTCTTAAAGACACTGTTCGGTGACAACGCTGGACTAGTACACAAGGCACCCTGGCTTGGATCTGATGTCCAGCACTGAGAAACATACAATAATAAATACCACCCCGTCCAAAAAAAAAAACAAAAACAAAAAAACTATCCCTGAAAAATAAGGATTCAGAATTCTCAGAGCTTCATGTAGTGTTGCCCTTCTGAACTGCGGGTCCCAGCACATGAAAAACGAGTTTACAAACAGATGTTTCATTGGTATTAAAAGGAAAACCAGACTCCCAGGTGCTCCTGAGAATACCTCAAGTCCTGGACAGAGCTGGTATCTCTCAAAACTTCAGTGGTCTTGGGAAACCCAGTGTATCTCATACTATTACTCTGACCCTAGGCTGACCCCAGAGAACTCAGCAATTCACCAGTAATTCTGAGTTCTCTTAACCTTCTACGGTAAATTATTCCAAAATGACTCTAGCAAAGGCATGATTCAGTTCCCAGTTAAAAAGACAAATGGGAATTTCTAACAACACTGGAAAATACATTCCTCATTACCAAGCCAACATATAAAAGAAGAGTGGACAGACTGGAGGGTGCCGAAGAGGTCTCTTTTAGATTCCATATTGTATTGTGGTTTGACATCATAGTCCTGGGCAAGGAATGATGACTTGTGGGTCCGAGGACGCAGAGTATTTTTGGTTGGTAAGTAGCCCAACAAAAGGGGTAAGAATATTAAATTTACACATGTCTACAATTTAACAAAATTATCTGAACACCTGAAAATATGAAATACTAGGTCAGTACACGTGCTGTGCGCCCTGAAAGCAGCGCTGAACTGGTCTCATGAGGCGTCTGAATTGTCTGAATGAAGGCCCAAAGTCTTCATAATCACAGTCTGCGGCCGCAAGTGTTTGTTACTCTGCACTTGTATCTACTGTGTCTGATACTCCAGGCTCTCTGCATCCCACTAGCAAAAGCCTGAGCTTTAAGAGCATTTCAGTCGGTTCACTGCAAAGTTATGACTAGGTTCCAAAGTTGACAAGCAGTCCAATTCACGACACACCTATGAGCACATTAACTATTTTGTACACTTTATTTAAAAACAAATAATACACTTAGAGCCACCAAAACTGGATATCATTATTAGCTTATCCATACCCTGAATTTACAAAAGGAACTTCTTGCACCACAAAAATTAGCATTTGGATTTACATTAATTGATATTATAACTAAAATTTAAGACACCTGAATATCAAACAATCTGGCCCAGGGATCACCAGTTGGGGGTTTGGGGTATGGAGAGAAAGGGTTATTTAGGGCTCTGAACTGATGATACCCTGAGGTTCACTCCAGTAAACCGATATTGAGAAGACATAAAGTGGTAGATTTTTAGTATTACAAAGAAGTGGTTCTTCCTAAAAACAGGCATTGGGTCATATAATTGGGGTGGGATAGGGTTACTCCTTAACCTGGAATGGAAAAAAAAAAAACCAAAACGTGTGGAGGGGGCTATATTAGTTTTCTCACAAGAGGCCGACATCAGCCAATGAAGAGGAAGCAGGAAGAGTGGGACATGGCAGACCAAAGACTTCCTAATACTGTGTTGCCAACTCAGCAGCTCTCCACAAGTCACTTCAAACCCCAGTCTCTGAGACCCTTTCAGAAAGAGCTAACGTGCAACAGGGAAAATCATTCTACATTAACAAGGCACTCACTGGTTCACAGCCTGGAAAAAACCCAGGCAGACATTAAAGTTAATTTAAATTAACATGAACTTTCTAATTTGCACCAGAGGGGTGATGAGCATGTGGTCCCAGTTAAATGAAATCTAAAGCTTGACTAGTCAAGATCCAGAAAAACTCCTCAGCACCACTTCAGAAACATTGTCAGAACAAACAGTGGGATCTAAAGATCTCTTTTAGTCTCACAAAACTTTTCAAAATTAAACACCTAACGACAAAACTGATGTAAAGGTTCTGTTAAATACTTGTTCAATGTGGAGTCCTTTCCACTGACACGAAGACCTAGATGCATGCTTGATATGGACAATTACAAAGCTTCCAGTGGCAAATGAAAAACTGATTCAAATTGTTTACCTGCTAAACAGAGATATATTCATTTTCTGACCTTCCACTAAAATGGACTTTAGGAAATGATACATTACACACACACACACACACACACACACACACACACACGCACACAATGCACTTCAACAGATATTACTTTTGTATAACCAGAATCCCAGTGTCAAACACTCTGAGCACTGCAATACAAACAAACAAGTAACACAGTCATGGAGGCAACTTCTAAGCCAGTAAAGTGGGTAATTATATACCTAAGAGTGTGGTAATAACTTTCAAAGAGTAAAATAAGCCAAATAAAATCATACTTTTTTTTCCAGGTAAACTTTTTGTTGTTTTGAGACAAGGGCTCATGTAGCCCAGGCTGGCCTTGAACTCCCTATATAACTGAGGATAATCTTGGACTTGAGATCCTCTTGCTTCCACCTCTCAGTGTGCTACTGTGCCTGGAGTTTCAAGAAAATTCAGTAACAATTTGACTCCTGGTTTAAAATATTACACACAACAACCAGGAACGAACTCTCTCCACCCACTAAGCACACTGGTGGTGTTTTAAGCCGTCCTTGAGGACAACAAAACAAAGAAGCAAAATCCTAGAAGTAATCCTGGATGTTTCACCTGCGCGGAGACAGCACACCGAGATGACCAGGCCCGAGAACAGCATCAGCACAGACGTCCAACCGCATCAGCCATCGTCCGACTCAGAATGGCAGCAATGACAATGAGGTAGATATGAGAGAGACCACTGAAGTTCTTCAAGACTATTCTTAGGTGGAATTGTAATTAGTTCAAGTGTTTCATCTAAAAACCATATTTTTTACTACTCCGATCCTCCTCATATAAGAATTTCATGGCATACTCTTGAGAACGGGGGAATATATGAAGTACTAAAAGAAGCAAGCTTTGAAAAATTACATCAGTGAGAATCCCGTAATTCTGGGGAATCAATAATTTGTTATCTGAAGTTGAATTTAATTCAAAAACAGTTATTTGTTCTTTACTGAATTTTCTAGAAATTCACATTCAAAACTCTTGGAAAGCATTTAAGGTGCTCCAAAGAGCACAAAGATTATGCATGAAATGTCCCCTGAAGTCCTAGAAGTTGAGCAATTACATTAAAAGACACTGTCACAAAATCAGGATCTTCACAGACTGGCACACTGGCACGCGTGCGCACACACACACACACACACACACACACACACACACACACACGCACTCTCTCTCTCTCTCTCACGCTCTCTCTTCCCCCTCCCACCCCAACACAGATTCAGTCTTCACCCTCGCTATAAGGCTGCATTTGAAGGTTTTAAAGGCACCTCTCCTTTCTAGCTATTGCCTTCTCAATGACACATTTTGTCAAAAAGCTTGAATGTTCAATGGAAACAGCTCAGTGCTGAGAATGGATTTTTTTCAATTCACATTTGAATAGCCAGGTTTTCTTACATTCAGATTTTAATAAACTAGAATGACAGTCTTTAAAACAAGCATGCTAGCCTATAGTGAGTATAGTATATACAGTAATTTAAACACTTAGAGCTCTATATTATACTGTGAAAGCAAACAGCACAACACTCGCCATACTCATCAGCCTCTGAGTATACGACCTCCAAACGGGAGAACACAAACAGTAAAATGCACCCATGGTTTAGATATATATATATATATATAGTCTATATATTATATATATCCCTATAATATATATAATATATATTTATAAAATATACATACATTTTAGACATCTTTCAAATAAAGAATCATTATCTCCAAAAGAAATTTATAGCAAGAATACTGAAGGAATGGAAGTTAAACAAATAATTTCTCACAAAATTCATTATCAGTGATACAGTTCAATTTTCCCCTTTTAGTTACAACTAAATGATTACAAAAGCTAAATACTTTGCATAACTAATTATCTGTTTAATGGCAAAAATTGATAAATTTGTTCAATAGAAAAATACTGAAGGTCATTATATCACTTATTTATCTATGGTTTGAGTAGCAAATGAGCTCCATGTGACAGCTGCGTTTTGAGAAGGGTACTAGAAGCTCCCAGAGACGTATCCACAGCACATGAAAATAAGGCAGGAGCCTAACCCACCTGCTGATTTTCATACTATTCCCTAACAGCTGACTCAGAATATTTACAATCCGGTAAATATTTATGAAAGCATTTCAGTGATTTTGAATCTTGAAATTTTCATTTTGTGAATGTTCATTAGGATGGGGAAAGTCAGACAAATGTCCATGCTACCATCAGCTGGAAGACAGCTTTGGCTCATGTCCAGGCTGAGAATGAACAGGGCTAGTTTAGAAGAATCTCTCTCTATGTACAGTTTTCAATGGCACAAAGCACACTTCCTAAAACCCTTCAGCAGTTCTATCATTTGCATTACACTTCGTCTGTCTTAGGATTGTTTCCCACCCAATCACGAGGCACAGAACGAACAGGGCAGCCTCTCCTGGATTCCAGAATGTTGGTGACAAGAGTAAGACATACACCGTAGACTTCGGGAAGCAATAAAAGCAGTAACTGTGGTCATAAATACACTACTTCTAACTGGAACCTTCTAGTAGTCTACAAATGTTGGGTTAGCACATCCTTTTGTGAAGGATGGAGAGATTTACCCATGACAGTGTAAAGTTTTATATTTGCGTAAAACACAAGCATTTAATTCAGTTCACTCGTGCATATTAATTTATCTCTTAGGTCTGTTAACCAAAGCACAAAGATAAAATGTAACTGTGTTAAATATGACACCATGTCTATAGAACAACCAGAGAAATTTAGCATGGGTCTTATAATGTCAATGAAAATTTGCCTGCACATTAGAGAATTCTAAAGGCATCTGCCTTTGGAGCAGAAAAATTTTAAGTCAATTATTACCCATATCACCATGAGAATGCTATTTCAAAGAATAAGTCACTAGAAATGCCATAACTATGCAATGGAATCATTATGATGGGTTATAACATTTATAGGTATAGTATTTTTAAGACCTAGAGCCTACGATGTATACATTTTGGTGAAAGGTGGACATTAATTTATTTTTAATATTTATATTGATCTCTGTCACTTCACAGAGGAATGTGAAGGGCATGAAGGGTGCCCGACAGTTACAGGAAGGAGGTCTACACGGCAGGGCACTAGGAAGGTCAGTAGGATTCTGAGTCTCCCAAAAGCTGACTACATATGGGTCACAGATAAATGTGAAATCTGCCATTTGAAGACATGGCTTTATTAGATAGAGCACTGAATCACTGTTCATTAGTATGTGTGTTCCAATTAAACAATAGGTGAAGGTAGGAGAAGGAATCTCACAGACATCACAGGCATCAATAACGTCTTTCATCTAGCCCTCCATGACATTGTAGAGACGCTAGTGGTGAACTCAGGGGGCACTGCTTTAGTAGCAGAGCTGCCAAAGCAGTTGCCTGAGAACCATGCGCTCTGGGCTAGACAACATAATAATTATAAACTGTTCATGGCAACAGTAAGAACACATGAATGTGAAAGGCAGGGAAGAAACAGTGAGGATTATCTGAACCAGTTACATGGGTGTCAAGAAATGGATGCTAATAAATAGCTTCCTCCTTTTTCAGTCACTAGGAAGTTCTTCAACATGAAATAATTACTCTAGTGCAATAAATACCACACAAATGAGGTGAACTTTTTAAACAAATTATTATAGAGATAGTTCCTGTTTGCCCCTAAAAATAAACAGGATCTCAAACCGGGATAAGTTAAACCCTTTAGTAAATGCCGACCCTATTAACTGCTGTTCATAATGGGTGCTTGACAGCTAGACTTTAGAATGGTACCACATCTACTTTCAAAATTGTAATACAAGGTAGAAATCTGCTTGCAAACTAAATATTTGTTTAGCATTTCTGAATAATATTCTTAATGTATTATTGCATCTTTTCCTCCTAATAGGTGAAATGTTTTGTCACGTGCTTTATGAGAACAGCAGAAAGGAGAGCTATGTTAGAAATTCATTTGAACACTGTCTGGTCATTATACACAATGGGGTTAGTAGAGCAGATACAGTACAGTTTGACTAAGTATGTGTAGCAGATGTCTCAGGGTAGAGTCTCATTCCCCACATACAACTGTTAATGACCCAGAAGAGCATGCCCTGTTTACTCAGGAAGGGAGATGCTAAATCTGTTCCGCTCAGGCCTGCCTAGCGAATGACAACAACTCAGAAATGAAAGTGCCTCTTTCGGGGGAAGTCAAAATTTTCAGGCTCACAGATTCAGCTGAGCTTGCAGCAACCTGAACAAACCTTAATTTTAGAAAACAGTTCACAAATTGCAAAACTATACTTTAACAAATGTTCTCTGTGCTCCTTCAGCAGAACAAAAGAGCAGGATGTGTTGGTGCTTGCCCTGGTCTTCTGTATCTCTGTTGTGCAGTTGACTAATAAAGAGCTAGAAGGTGAAGCTGATGAGTCACATCATACGAAGACCTTAGCCAGGGCATCGGCTCCAGCACTGGCTATATAGCATTTGGAAGGGTGGAATGCTACATCGTGGATCGATTCTTCAAATTTTTTCCGATGAGCTGTGAACTCTTGGATACATGTCTTACTTTCTAAATTCCATAAGCGTATTGAACAGTCATGACCTATCCCAAAAGAGAGGAGATTGAAAGGAATAATTGTATCAACATGAAGATGATAAGGACAAAAAGATAATCCACAGCTAATGTACTTACTGCCAGACATCAAGTACAGGCCATTTGGATCAACCGCCAAACTTGTAACAGCTTCTAGGTGGGCTACCATTGAGTGGATCAGTTTGCCTTAGGAAAAAGACATTGTTATTCTTTAGTGATGACTTCTTTGGCTTGACCATGTGCCAGCATCCATACTACACTAGTTTCCCCAGTCATCCTCGTCTGTGTACTTCTTGGATCAACTTTTCCCATCAGTTCAAACAACCTATCTCCCCCCTTGCCTCGGTCATGCTAATTAGAAAAAATAAAAATAGCTTAAATTTCAGATGAGACTTTTTTAAGCCACAATAAATTCAGTGAGTCTTACATGGTAACTAATTACTATCCAGATCTTGTGTACCATTTAGTTACAAACTACACGGGCTTATGAGGACAGACAGTTCAAAATTCAAAGAGACAAAGGGAAAGAGAAAACATGGCCACAGTTTTGGTGGAAACAATATACAGAAAAGAACTTTAAAAATTAAATTGCTAGCAACTAAACACAACTGCAAGTGACCATATTAAAAGGCAGAAAGCCTAAGAAATATGGCTGCTCATGTAAAGCTCTTTGTGCATTTCCGTAGACTGCTGAAATGCAGTCCACTGAAAACTGGGAAAGTCCCACCCCCATTCAGTCAGGACTCAAATTTTAGTATAACACAGCAAAGATCAGCCTGTGGAAAAATACACAAAACAAATGACCTGAGGGTTTTCCTATACAACACTGAATCAAGCTGTGTAATATTGAACAGAACACAGCTATTCGATAACAGAACAATTTAAAACAAAACGTAATTACCAGCCTCTGCTTCCAACATGTTTCTATTAATACTCCCTATGGATTCCAACAGATCATTTTTATTGGTACTTAGGTTTGTGGCTTTAGAATATGCTATCTGCTCACTATTAAACAAACTAAAAATTATATTCTATAACACAGTCTAAGCAGATATGAGTGGAGAAAGTGCTTCAAGTGCCTATTCCGTGACTATAAAGCTTCCATTAGACACCACAATTAGCATATTAGTAGGTGTCTATTGTTTTAGTTTCTTGCTGCTGTTGCTGGTTTCGCTCCAGCACGACACAGTGCTGAGGAGGCTCTTACCTGTATTGTTATCATAGAACTTGATGTGCCTGTCTTCGTGAGCAGTGATGCTGATCGGGAGCGTGGGATGGCTGATGACTCTGTTTATTTGGCAGGAAGAATTGGCTGCTAAAAAGGAAAAATTAAAAATCAATACAAATTGGTCAAAGTAATTTTTTTCATACAAGGAAGATATAAATACCTAAACAGACAAGAAAAAATAAATATAATGCAGTTTTAGTCTGGCTGTGGTTCAGTTATTTTCTAACCACTTCTCAGCTTCAGTGTTGTAAAACGAGTGAGCACTGCCTAAACCACACTGGCATATTTACAGCTAATTAGAAGTCAGAACTTCCTTTTCTACAGCCTGCTATGCATGGATGTCACCTAAGACTTGACCTAGAGTCACTAAGTCTACAGATTCTGTGATGTTTGCTATCATAACAGAGTTCTACTGGCTGGGCATGGTGGCACACACCTTTAATCCCAACACTTGGGAGGCAGAGGCAGGTAGATCTCTGAGTTCAAGAGCAGTCTTTGTCTCATCTACATCTAGGTCAACTAGAAATTCACATTGAGATCCTATCTCAAAATAAAAACAAACACCACCAATATGCAAATAATCTTCAAAGTTAAATCTCAGTTCCTTCCAATAGGAGCTCTTTTCATAGAGGCATCAGAATGAGGGCTCTGGACTTGTTCCTCATTGCATCATAAGGGAAAAGGCCATTATCTTGCAGCCCACCAGATTCTGAGCTTTTAAGGAGCATACTAATAATTGTTGTATACTATTTAAGAGTTTTCAAAGAGATTAATTACTATATTCAGTTTGTTATTTCAAAAAACAACAGAAAATGTCACGTGGCTACGTGGAATAAGTTCTTAGAGTGCAGTTTTTCTGTTGTTTGTTTTGTTTCAGTGGCTTAGACTGATGAAGCTTAAAACAAAGTAAGTTTGTTTTTTTTTTTAAAGTAAATGTGTTCTCAGGTTTGGGAAATAGAACACTTTACAATTCAAGCATTCTTCACAGTGACTTGGACAGTTATGCTTCTGATTAAGTTTAAAAATGAATAGAGAGACTTTTAAAAGTTCGTATACCTACTTGAATCGAGATTGGATTCTAAAGTGAGAATTCGCTGCTGTGTTTCCATGTTAAAGATGCTTGTATATCCTTTGCTGAATGATGCTACCATATGGCTCGGGTCACTGCTCACTAGGTCCACAGAAGCAGGGATTCCCAGTTCTAAGTCAGAGACATTCAAAGAGAATGATAATTAAAAGCTTTACTTGAGAAAGTATTCAAAATGTAGCAAAACAAAACAAAATATGATTTATTTAAGTAAATCAGACTTAACATTAGATTAAGTTATTTTATGACCGTTCAGTAAAGAACATTTCTTTTGTAATGTTTAGCCTTAGTCTATTATCCTTACCTGTTAAATGTTTTCTACCCATTATCCTGCTAATTCATTCGTAGAATGCAAACTTATTTAGAAAGAAAATGAAAACATATGGACCATAAATTTTATAGCTTCTACTTCCATTTCAGGCATAGAATAACACAGTGGGAAATCAGTATTTTAAAAACTCATCTTGAAGAAAAGAAAACGACAAGAACAAATCCATCTCAGGCTGGTGTGCAGCTCAGAAACACCACGCTTGCCAAGCATAGAGTTAAGCTTTCAAAGTCTAAGTGCACGTTATGACTTTGCTGAAGTATAAAGGTATTCTGTGGCCTGGAGTGTAAACCAATGGTGGAATATTTCTCTACCATACAAATACCAAACGTTATTATCAGGGGACTAAACCTGGAACTCGTCTATACCAAAAACAGAATGATAGAGCCACTGTGACAGCATGTTCCTTACACCCAAGCACTTGGAAGTGGAGGCCCAAGGATTGTGAATTTGAGGTCAGCCTGGACAACAAAAGGTAAACCTGGGTTATATAGCAGGCACTGCCACAAGACAACAAACAGAATGGTAAATATAAAGTAATCTGTTTCAACACAGAACTAAAGCAAGGTAGTAATTCAAAACCGTCTAACAGAAGATGTAGGGACAGTCAAAAAGTGAAAAGCAAGAAAACAGTACACAACCAAATGAGCTTTCCAAGAACTCAACACTGACACAGAAGGGACCCACTTCCACTCTCCCACAGGAGGCTGAACGATGCAGAAAGACACCACCAAGAAAGAGTGGGGACACAGTGCACATGACCCTTGCACGGCTGCAGCCCAGGCTAAAGTGCCACGAGCACGCTGGGAGCAATGTCGGTTATTTCACATAAGTTAGCAACAAAACACCCATCCTAAAACATAGCAATTCTACTAAAAGGTCTCTACTACCCAGGATGAAAATTCATGAATGTTTATAATAAATTCTTCCAAATTTATTATAACCCTACACTGGAACAACCCAAGTAAATACCAAGAGGTAAATAAATAATTATGAAAACTATAAATTTGTACAGTAACTTTGCTCATAACAGTCTCAGTGTCTGTCAGGAGATAGATGAGCAGACAAACTGTAACTTAATATAATACTGTCACATAATAAAGGAAATAAACGGACACTGAATCACACAAACATTATAGTGATGAAAAATCAGACTGCTATTTTATTGTAGTTCAGAATAGACAAAACTATAATGAAAGTAATCTTGACATGAGGAATCACTGTCTGGGAATATATAACAGGGACTGACTAAGGACACAAAACAGCTGAGAAGAAAGGGTCCAGTTCCAGACTTACACCAGCTCCAGGACTGCACTAGCTCACCAGCTGCATGAAAACACATCCTTAACATCGGTAATCATCACTGAAAATAAGTTATGTCTCAGTTTTTTAAATTTAAACCCCATTTTCTTATCAAATGTTGTTCTTAAGAATTATACATGCATTGAAATGTCAAACAATAATGTTGCTACATTAAAAAAAACCTTAGAAATTTAAAAATCAAGTTTATAGAATCATTTACTTGTTTGCTTTTTCAGAGTAGGATATTTTATAAAAGATCCGGAAATGTTCGATTTGAAGGACTGTACCTTGGTTATCATTAAACACACTCAGTGCTGGAGCAGGCTCAGTTGTGTTCCATAAACGAAGAGTGCCATCTGCTGAACAGGACAACAGGCGCTGGTGTGCCGCACTGTAGGCCAGCCCCCACACGGCATCCGTGTGGCCCAGCAGAGGGCCTCTCAGAACAGAAGGATCTGTGAAAACAAGAAAGTGCAAAACCAGGAAGAAAAAGCGCAAAAGCATTTAGGTTCCACTGTAAACATTAAATAGAGCACCCAAAAACAGTATAATACAATCTTCCTAGTTTCATTATTCTTCTGAAATACTGTCAGAATTACAGGTAGTTTTTGAAATATACGAATAAGGTTTAGAAATACTAAATTGAAATGAAGAAGCCAAGTATGCTTTCTTAAGAAAGCTCTATTTTAATGCTTATTAAATAAAATAAGAAGAGATTTTTGTTTGCTTATTCTGTTTACTTTAGTTTGGTAGTGAAATTAAAATGTTTTTTAATGGCAAACATGATATGTTAAATCATTCTGCATTAACTCAAAACTTAAAGCAGCCAATTTCTAAAGAGTTTTACAAGAGAATTTACGGTAACATCTAGAAACACAGTATAATATGAATTTATGGCATAAAACTGCTCTTAAAACCAAAGGGCCTGTGTGCATGCTTACAAGTCTACATGTGTGTGTATTGAGGGTGGAGAGAGGACATATAGACAGCTTGGGTTTATTCTGGAACTCAGACTGACCTGGAACTCATTAAATAGGCTACACTGGTTTAAATTCACAGCAGTTCTCCTAGTTCTCCCTGCCAAGTTCAGGGATTACAGACCTACACCACTAAACCTAGGTGAAAGGCCATTCCTTAACCTTTGAGGCCCTTTATAAAAAATATTTTGAAGGCTTGGACTTTAAAACTAATTAGCTTCTTCTATTTTTCTCTAATAACTGAGTAAGTGAATAATGCTAGCATTCATTTACCTTAAAAGTTGTTTGCCAAAAACAGTAATGAAATATGACTACAGATGAGTTGCAATGCTTCAAGTAAGAGACAGATGTCTAACATGAAAACAGCAAGCGTCAACCAAACCAGTATTCTATCCAGATGAACTCTTTGCTCAAGAACAGCATGCTTTTTCCTTTAGTATTAGGATCTAACCAATTCCTGTATTTACAGGAGTCCTTCTGAATGAGATAAAGACATGCTTCACTTTACTATTTTTTTAAATACATAATTTTACCCTTAATATATACTATGGGGAAAAAAGACAACATTGTTTCAGAGCTTTGGTGAAGCACCTACCGTAAGAGTCATAGGGATCGATGTTGGGGTTGGTGGTGTTCCAGCCCTGAATCAGTCCGTCCGTACCCCCACTGTAACACTGCTCGCCATTGCTACTCATCACCACACACAGTACCGGACCTCTGGGACACCAAAGGAATCAACAGGCAGTAAGTTAACTGCCATTCTCACACAGTAACTCTACAATGTAACTTGTCAAAATTTACAATGTTTAATTACTCAAATGCTTTTCTACTTTCCAGCTTTAAACAATGATTAAAAAACACTACTGAAGTACTATTCATTTTTCTTTCTTTGCCAGACCAAAGGTTAGTAAATTGAGGCCAAATTCATCCAGTAGTCCTAGTACAGTCCTCAAGCTATGAATGCTTTCCACATTTAAAAAAATTAAAATAGCAACACATACAGCAAAAACAAAACCAAGAATATTACATGAATTAAGACCCTTAGTTCAATCCCCAACAAAAACCACACCAAAAGCCAAGAGGACAAAAAAAGAAAAAGCTCAACAGAATATGGTCTGCTAAACCTGAAAAAATATTTACTTTTTCATCCTTTTCATTTTGTCAATTTCTGTGACAAATGAAGTGAAGACATGCCTCTCACACATAAGTGAAAATGAAGAAAATACGTAATAACTAGAGAAAATTCTTGGTTAAAAATACAAGTGCCAAACCAGGCGGTGGTGGCACATACCTTTAATCCTAGCACTCAGGAGACAGAGGCAGGCGGATCTCTCTGAGTTCAAGGCCAGCCTGGTCTGCAAAGTGAGTTCCAGAACAGTCAGGACTGTTACAGAGAAACCCTGTCTTGAAAAACAAAACAAAACAAAAACACAAGAGGCATGTGTGTGAGCATATATTACTCAGGAGGAAATCCAGGGCCTCGTGCAGAATGGGAAATCTTCTATCTTTAAGCTGTGCCCGCCCCCCCGACTTTGAATATCTTTATGTAGACTATGTTTAATAAAGAAACTATGCTAAGATTTCTTTTTAAAATGATTTTTACTTTTCATTTTTATGTGTGGCTACATGTCACTTCTGCGTGGGTGCCCATAGAGGCCACAAGAGTGGTGTCGGACCACAGGAGCCGGGGTTACAAGCTGCTGTGAACCAGGAGGAGCAGCAGGTACCCAGTGCTAGCTTTTCAAATACTTAAACCAAAACACCTTGGCTTCAGTTTATAATGCACATGCATACCAGGATCCCTACTTGGTATTTATATTATCTGCCAGGTTCTTTCACATTTATATATACATATATGGGCCCCAGTACTAAATAGAAAAATTATATTAAAACATTTAACTGAAAGAATGTATAATATTCCAATCAAACTGTGTTATAAAGACGGTGGTTTAAAATAAAGAAATCACAAACTTACTTATGAGCCCTAAACGTATAGATAGGCTCCACATCGAGAGAAGTACTCCTAAACCAGAGAGAGAAGATGACTTTAGGCGTTGCACATTTCAGTAGTGAGCAGCATGACTAAGTCACAGTACAGTGGTCAGAAATAGATCCCATGACAGTAACATCCTCAGCCTCAGAATAGAGGCTCACCTGATCCCAATTATACCTTTAAATAAGACAAACTCCCACCTCAGCAGTGGCACTTTGTGAAACAGTCTCCTCACATTGTTACAACTCGTCCACGGCTGTTACACTCTCCTCACAGTTACAACTCGTCCACGGCTGTTACACTCTCCTCACACTGTTACAACTCGTCCACTGATGTTACAGTCTCCTCACACTGTTACAACTCGTCCACTGATGTTACACTCTCCTCACACTGTTACAACTCATCCACTGATGTTACACGGTCTCCTCACACTGTTACAACTCGTCCACTAGTGTTACATGGTCTCCTCACACTGTTACAACTCATCCACTGATGTTACACTCTCCTCACACTGTTACAATCATCCATCCCCTCATCCAGCCTCCATCAGCAATGACCCTTTCACTGCGTGACACACAAGAGTACTACTAAGTACAACAGATGTAACACAAGCATCACAGAAGTTGTACTGCTTGTAGAAGAAATTGCTGCCTGGTTTCAAAGGCCCAGTAGCATCAGTGCTGAGACTCACACAGGACAGGCAGAATGCCAGATGCAGTCTGAGCATGGGAATGGGAATGAAGTCAGCAGAGGGGTTATTTATTCCCTTTGATGTGCTGTATCTGTGCCTTTCTGATTCTCGGGTCACATTATGCTAGTTATGCTAGCTCTGGTTCCCGCTTAGTCACACGGAGTTAAATGTAAAAGTCTGATTTAGCAAAGTAGCAAAAAAAAAAAAAAAAAAAATTAGTAAAATATCTGCACAAGCAAATAATAATCTAGTTACCTTTGAGCTGAATGACTTGAAAAAGATAATGTATACCTAAAATTCCTGCAACATGATGTAGAAAATAGTGAGTTCTTGCTTTTAACTAATGTCTATGATGAATCTCGCCTATTAGGTAATGCAGTACACTCAGAGTCTGGTTCTTAGTAATGAACTGATGACTTGGGCAGTTTCCACTGAATCAAGGATAGACATATTAACGTTCATGAAAACACAGGGAAGTTAAATTACTATTTGCTGAAATCCTGCCATGTGTATGGCCTTGACTTTTTTGTTTAATGTTTAGATTCTCAACTCATATTGAATATTTGATACTATCTAGATTTTTGTTTTACTTTAAATATGGAATAATTTGAAGTTCTGAAATGAAAAATTTCCCTGCATTATATGATATAACTGGAAATCACATTCTGAAAATTACCCTTTACAGTCCATGTTTTCTCTCCCATTGGAGGAGAAATTGCAACACTGTGAGGAGGCCTCATCAAGTAGACCTGGTCTAGCTTGGGGGCTAAGGAAACAGTTTATAGGACAGTGTGCTTATTGACATTCATACACCAAGACAAGAATGAACAGCTAAGAAAAAACAACAGTAGCCCTTAGTTCATACAAACCTCTTAGAATAGAAAACTTGTCAGAAAAAAAAAAAACTAAGGTTATAGAAAAATCCCTAGCCACATCTTCACTTTGTAAATCCAAACTCTGTAAATAATGGACCAGAGTGAAGTCAAAGTTTTGATAATTCTGATGTTCCTACTTATATCGCTTCATATTGACAGGAATCAGGAATCTTCATTATAGGCAAGAGCCCCCCCCCATAAATAAAAGCCACTTAAAACGCTTATGCATAAGGACTGTAATCAGCAGTCACAAACCCTTGGGAACCATCAGAGATTTACCTGGTAAAAAAATAAAGAACCTGAAGAGAGATATGGAAAATATAACAGAAAATTATTTTAAAATATTATGTCTTTTCCTATTGATAATTTAACTTAACCTTAAAATAAGTAAAATTAGAATATTCTCACTTTTTGGCTGGGGCTGTTTTCTGAAGATTCCACATTTTCAGTGTATGGTCTTCTGATGCTGTTATTAAAACAGGCTCGATGGGGTGGAAAGCAAGGGCTCGGATGCCATCAAAGTGACTTCTTAATGTAAACTTAGGGTTCCACGTCTTCCTCAAGGCATCTTTATTATTTGCTATCTATTAAAGAAACAAAAGATCAGGCTGGGATAGCTGATTCTCAAAACAATATATCCTTTTTTTTAAAGACTTGCTTATCATGTATACCATGTTCTGTCTGCATGTATCCCTGCATGGCCAGAAGAAGGCACCAGATCTCACTACAGATTGTAGTGAGTCACCATGTGGTTGTTGGGAACACATAACATTGATTTTTCTTGAGGGGCAAAAGTGAGTTTGCATTAGAAGGAAGTCTAAGTCCCATTAGCTGTTAGTAAGACATAACTTATCACAGGTGCCTAAACAATAACATAGCTCACACTTTGAAATGGGAAAGAGAATTCCAATGCATATGCTATACTGACCCACAGATCTAGGCAAAGCCTCTAACTTTAATCTCCAGGTTATTTAGAAAATGTCAGCTAATTTTTATATCTATCTTTGCAAAATCTAAAATTAAAACTAAACCAAGATCCATATGTGTGAAAAAGTTTTTACCTCTGACATCTTTTTCTATAAATTTAGCTATTAATTTTCAAACACAGTAACGGCATAAAAAAGAAAACTGCTACTTACATCATAAGCTAGTGAGTCTGCTTCATTGGCCACTGTAAGGCCTGCCAATTCTCCAAGCCCCAGTTCACTTTCAAGGGCTTCATCTGCTCCCATGATAAACGACTTCCCAGAAGAAGGCGGAAATGTCAGTGCTTCCACTGAGGGGAGACAAAGTCAAGTTACACACCTAAACACTTCACAGCTATTCTTGCTTGCCTGTGTTACATTTCTGATAAGAGAACATGTACATCTTAGTTTGTTCTACTTTTGTTTTCAGAGCCTAGGCTGGCCCAGAACGAAGGCAATTCTCTTGCCTTGGCTTCCTAAGTGCTGGAATTACAGGCCTGAGGGCTATGTACCTAAGAGTAATCTTACATCACTGTTAGGCAATTCTGTAAACAGTAAAACTACATGAGCAGAAAAATCTTAAAGACTGCTTTTTCATATATTATCCTGCTAACAGCATCATCTAATTAGAAAAATAAAACAAAAAAATTTGATAATTTACTGTCTTTTCCTTGATCATTATATAGAAAATAGCATAACTATAGCAAATTTTCTATTTGATATTTCATGCTAATTACTCAAATAATGTCTATCAATGGCAAAGTATATTAAGAAGTAGTACTTGCTATATGTTGAACACTATGACCTCATTCAAAACAAAACTGTAATTCTGTAACCTCAAATACTGCAGCCATTTCAAAATGAAAACTATACAATGTGCTTATCTGAGAAAAATTAATATACAATGTTGGAAGTTGTGATTACCTCTGAGAGTGACACAAGTGCCCGACCAGTGGTTAAAGGGGTCACATAGGATACTAACCTTGGTAATGCTCTCTGCCCTGATCTGGGGGTGACGCCTAATTCTGACGTGGGATGACTTAATGAGCTGCTCCCATTTGTACACATGCTTTATATCATTTAAAGATGTTTTAAAGTCCATTTCGGAACTTTAATAGATGCCTACTGTGCTTTGAGATGGAGTTTTACTGTGTAATCAACTTGAACTTTTTACTTTGTAACTTTGAACACAGCACTTCAGTCTTTCCAACAAGTATCACTGAAAGGCCAGTAAAAAGCAAAACACTAAACTATTCCAAAAAGGCTCCTGAGCTTGCCTTTCTTCACCGATGAGAAACATTTAAGATGAATTTAGCAAGTCAAAGGATTTGCTAAAGAGATGTTATCTTGTGATCCAGCTGCCCTCACTCTCCCTGACTGACAGCGGGACTTTCTTGTGGTCTGTAATTGACAAAGATATTTGTGTTCTTTCTGGCCGGTGGGTCTCCACAGAAGTAGAGGTATAAAAGGTTGCTGGGCAAAATAAAGTGCTGTTCTTCCACCTGAAAAGAAGCCTCCATGTCTCAATCCCCGCACCCTCCCCCCCTCACCAGTCTTGGCTATCCAGGCTGCGCTGGCTGCAGCATTATCTTTTAACAAAGAAGCAAGTTAATTATATCAAGTACCGCAGACTTAAAAGTTGTTTTTCAGTGCTACAGTTAATTATGTTTATTAATAAGTACTTGTTGAACACATTAAATCATTGTTATTTGCTCTTAAAAACAGAAGTGGTATCTGGGTGTGGTGCTGCACACTTTTAATCCCAGCACTCTGGAGGCAGAGGCAGGTGAACCTCAAGGCCAGCCTGGTCTACATAAGCTCAAATTTGCCAGGGATAAACAGTGACAAAAACCTAGTAGCAGTAATAGAAACTCAAAATTTTTGTCAGATATAAAAGAAAATCACTGTCAGAATAAAACAATACAAATTAAAACACTATTGAGCCACATGTACACGGAAGTGGTATTAATAAAAATTGGCTTCAGCTGCATATTATCTATGTGTCTAGGCATTCAGCAGGTGTCCTTTGTTATATTTTTCATTTCTAACATTTTCACACAAATGACCTTGTCCATGAAACAGAGGCTCCTGAGACCAATCACAGCAGGGGTCAGTGGTAACTAACCCTCTAGAAAGTCCAGTCAGTGGTCAGAACAGGGAGCAACAGGGACTTCACGTCTCTAAGTGGGTGGGCATCTTGTTCTCTCTGGCCTCGGAAGAAACAGATTACAGTGCTTTGGGTAACTAAACACTGCTGCCCCTAATTAGATTTTAGAAAACTAACTGGAATTCAAATACTACATCAAGTATGGAAGCTTTTCCTCAAAGCTGGGTAAAGATTCTTTAGTGATGGGCAATTAAATATGCAAGCAATACTCTCTCCCACACTCTTCAACCCTAAAGCAGGGATAGAACTGAGCTCTGTTTGACAGGGAAATGCTCTACCACCAAGTAACATTCCAACCGTGGACTTTTTTCGTGTTTATATGCCATAGAATTGTACTGTGGAAAAGCTAGAAATATCCAAAAAACTCAGGAGGATTTTATTTTAAATCTAAAGTATAAAATAAAGCATTAACGCTGAGCTTGAAAATGATCAATATATAATTTTATACTAAAACAAGACAGAACTATTCTACATAATGGCTGTAACTATCATGTTAAAAAAAACATGCAAGTGAATAAGGACTTTTAGGAAACAAGGAAACGGGAAGCAGAAAATATGAAAGCAGGAGGTTTTCCTTCCATTTTGTTGTTGCTTTGAGACAGGGTCTCGCTATGCAGACCTTAGCTACACAGAACTTGCTCTGTAGATTAGACTGACCTCAAACTCTCAGGAAACTGGTTGTCTCTGCCTCTGAGTACTAGGACTAAAGCATGTTGTCACCATGATGTCTGGTGTCCCTTCATTTTTTAAATCAATGACAAATTAAGCATGCTGACTTTTTTCTCCACCTTCATTTCTGTTTATTCGGAATATCTAATACAATAGAGAGAAACTATGAAACTATTGAAAATTTATCATAACATCAAGTTCACTATCAGAAAATGATAAGGCATATTATTGTGAACTATCTTATTAAATTATAACTATAGGTTTTGACCTGTATAGTCCCAGAAAAATCTCATAAACTGTTGTCATCCTGAGAATCCTTCAACCATAGTAAACCAGATGACAATTTGCCCATCATGTCAAAAGATGTTTTTTATTTATTCACAGTTTGTGAGTTTAAGGAAAGAAGCATCAAATCCAAAAGAAGTAATGATTAAGTAATGAAGAAAATGGGAGCAGACATGTTTAAGGCTTTTAAAAGTCAATGCAAGAACACACAATTTTTTAAGCTTGTGTAAATTTTGTAACAAAAAAATACAACTGAATCACTATTCTGTGTGGATTGCATTAAAAAATATAATTACTTAACAAAATTTTGTACAATGGCCTTCAGTTTAAAATAAATGTATTGGTCACGTATTAGGGACAAACTCGTGAAAAATAACATGAACTTTGGTACCAGCTTTCAAATGCAAAGGTAGTAATAACTATAAACTTAAGCTTTGGTGAATCACTGTTCAGGTAACTGGTTATCTTTAAGTTCTACCTTAAAACTGCTTGCCATCATAGGTGTGAGTGGACAGAACTTCTGACTTGCAGCATTATGGTGCCTTTCAAAGTGAACATTTAGTACCAATTTTCAGACTCAATTTTCTCAGTGTTGGAACAGGGTAAGTCTGTTACCACTCTGTTGTCAATGGATATTCTAAACCAGAAACTAAGATGTCCCTTCCCCCAAATCACAGACGAAGCTGGAGTCAACCCCCACTGACTTAAGAAAGTGGCTGTGTGCAGATGGAGTAAACTCTAAAGCGCCAGTCCTGGCTATGGTCCAGGTGCTCACCTTCATCGGCCCTGCTGATTTCCTGCTCAGGAAGCCTGGAGCTGCTGGGTCTGGAAGGGGAGCCAACAGATGGCTGCAATGAGGGAAGTTCATCAACATCTCTCAAATTAGCAAGCATATCTTGTAGTTTTGACCTATTGGGCCCTAGCCAAAAAAAGGGGGAGGGCAGAGGAGAAAAAAAAAAGAGAGAGAAAACAATCACTCATTTCATAAAAATTGTACAGTAAGCTTTTTCACATCTGCCAACATTCACCTTTAAAATGTCCTACTAGATTGATCAATTAGGAGCAGTTATTTTGGAAGTTTTCAAACTTTAAGAGTTTATTATTTCTGGAAAAGAATTATATTTAACTATATATTTTTGTAAATTAAGTTAATAGAATCACTACATGTCATGTCCAGTACGTATCATTAAAAGTCATAATTATCTACAACAAAACCAGTGACCATTGGTCTAACTGAAGACAGACAAGCAGACATCAGGAACCAAATGTGAGCTCAACTGAACAATAGCACCCCTGCTGTTTAAATTAAGTTACATTCATTGCCTTACATTCTGCAGCTATGGACCCCAAAGTGAAGTCTTATGCCCTGTTGGTCACTTACCTGGGCTTTGATTCTTCATTCTCCCACATCCCTGTTTTGACTGTTTTATATAGGATAGAGGCTGAAACAGATCTTCGGTAGTTTTTCCTGTTACAAGTTTAATTAAGAATGGGAAAATCTTACCCATAGTCCGTTATGGTATTTGCTATACCAGCAAAGAAAACAACTATTTCTAAGCAATTCTAACGAATTCCTACAAAAGTTTAAGACAGTATGACTGGAGTACACCATCTGACTGGATATATTTACACCAGATCAATTAACAACAAGTTTACAGTGGGTAGCAGCTCAATTAAAAAGTGTATCTGGTAGCTTATAAATTAATGTTCTGTATAACAATTCACAGCTTTACTTCATTCTTCTCATTATCATAGCTCTTCACTTGTCCTCATACTACTGTTTTAACAAAATAACAAGTGAGAACAGTAAAATGTGGGGGCCTTAGTCTACATGCCTTATTTTCATGTAAAACATTCGAATTTCTCCCCCATAGAGTTAACACTTCTATACTTAAAAAGCCCATGTGCTATATATTTAAATATGCATCTCACTCCCTAGGTGTAGGGAATCCAATTGCTTCTGTTAAAAGGAATACTATTCCAGTCAGATGGTGCAGCTTTATATCTGAAGGGCTAAATTCTAATCACAGTGTAAGAGTAGATGAGGTGGCAACCTTTCCAATTAAAAGATCTTTTTATGTTGCAAGATACTCATTTTATAACATAATGTCCCCAAAAAATATACCAACACTGATTTAATCTGGAAACAATTTCTAATGTATGATATACAAATTTTCCTCAACATTTTAGCTTAACTGGCTCAGGAATGGTTCTAAAAGTCATAGCAATTCATGTCAATATATTTTTTACGTTTAAAATTTTTTGACTATTTGAAAAAGGGGATGAAGCGATTTTGTTTTAATGTTAATCTTTCTTGTTCTGATTTTATCTAGTTTGAGGTAACACTAAGTGATCTCATCTTTCAGTAATTGTCAAAACTATTAACATTAGTAATGGACATAGACTTTTCATTGAATTAAGAATTTAAAAATTCTATGATTTTCAATAAGTATCTAACTGTTTTAATGATAATTACCAGATTGTAAAACAATGTCTGCCAGGAATGACTGGTCTTGATATGTTTTGCCATAGTAAAAAGTAACAAGGGAATACAGTATTCCTTCCAGTCTTTTGTCTACTTATAAATCCATTTCTCACAAAATTTAGATTTTAATCTCATTTTGTACTATTTTCACATCTCAAAGAATAAAATTCCTATTGTAGTGTAGGAGGTCCTTCTGTTTATGTGTTGCTTTCGTTGGTTAATGAATAAAGAAACTGCCTTGGCCTTTTGATAGGGCAGAACTTAGGTAGGCGGGGGAAACAGAACTGAATGCTGGGAGGAAAAAGGGCGGAGTCAGAGAAGCCATGGATCCTCTGCCTGAGAAAGACACCTGTTAGAATCTTGCAGGTAAGCCACAGCCACGTGGTGATACACAGATTAATAGAAATGGTTTAAATTAAGATGTAAGAATTAGCCAATGAGAAACTAGAGCTAAAGGGCCAAACAGTGTTTTAATTAATACAGTTTCTGTGATTATTTTGTGTGTAAGCTAGCCGGGTGGACAGGATGAATAAGCAGACCCTCTCCTTGCAACACTATTGCCATAAAAGAGAAAAGCTATGTTCATCATCTCAATGAGTAGAAGCACAAGAAGGTAGTTTAATCTTATTCTCCCACAAAAAATGCTTTGCTTTGTTTTGGAAACGAGGTCTCCTGTATCCTGGGGTGGCCTCTAACTCCTTAGTAGCTAAATATGACCGTGAACTCCTGGGCCTCTACAGGAGTCACTATACCCAGTTTAGGAAGTTCCAGTGGATGTCCCAAGGCTTTGTGCATGCATTCTAGGGAAACACTCTGTCAACTGAGCTACACTGTAGCCACTAAAAAGCTGTTGAAGAATATTTTCATCAAGGTTTTGTGAGGATTTATATTTCCATTTTATATATGTAACTAGATCTGTTGAAAAGCTTTTCATTTGCATAATGAGTTATATGATCCACAGGGCTAAAAATTTAATTTTAGCTTCTGCTTCTGATGTGGCATACATTTTATTGAAAAGGGAAAAAAAGGTAATTGGTAACACTGCTATTAATTAAGCTGGGTAAAACATTTACATTAGAAAACAGACTCATTTAAGTTATATGTTTGACTGTGTGCCCTGTACAGCATATAGAGACAAGAGCAAATGGATTTCATGTTGTGAACACAGACTATTCAGGGGCAGAAATTAACTTCTTTTTGTCTCAAGATCTGAAAGTATAAGCAGAACTTTGGTGAACTGCCAGCAAATCCGAGTTTAAATAAGATTTATGAATTGCCACTGGAAATGAACACCCTTGTGACTGAGCACACAGACCATCAAAGGCCAACTCATCCCTATGTTCAAATGCACAGGCCGGCATTCACATGAGATTTTATACTTCTGTTAAAATTCCATATTCATATATGATTTTTGTTTAATTCACAGTCACTGCCACTTAATTTCAACCCCCGAGCGATGGCAAAAGGAAAGTGATCAGGAACAGAAATGAAAAGAGTAAGTAGTTTTAGGAAAACATTGAGAAAAAAAGAAGAAACCTTGGAACATACAGATGCAGACTCAGTAGTTTATAGATACAATGTTTTCCACTTACTCTTCACCCCTTTCTTCCCCTTTCTCTCCTTTTTGTACTGCTCCTTCAGTTTGGTGATTACTCCCTGGTCCACATTCCAGGCTTCAGGCACGAGACACTGATCTTCCTTTTCTAAACAGAGTGAGACAAACAGTCTTTCTTCAATAAAATACCAAATACTCTAAATCAATGTCTAAAAGACACAATAATTTTCTTCATAATACCACTTACCAAAAACAGAAAAGCCATTTTTATACTCAGATAGGTGACATACAAAATGTAACACCTAACAAAGGTCAATTCAATTTGCTAATTGACAAAACATTTCCCTTAAAAAAGACAGAAAAAATAAATCTAGATATTTCATTAAGTCCAAGCATGTTATAATCATCATTTTCAATGTATTTCATATCATATGTATACAGTGATAGAAGATTATTATTAAAAGACTACACAGAATAATCTTAAATGGTCTTTTCAAGAGCTCCAGCCAGGGAACTAGTTATTAGTCATCGACAGAGAGGCTTCCTCCTGCAGCGACTGGGAACAAATACAGAGACCCACAGCCGGACATAAGCAGAGAGTGAGAGCCTTGAAACACTCAGCCCTAAATGGGTGTCTCCATCAAATCCCTCCCCTCCGGGCTGAGGGAACCCTGCAGAAGAGGAGGCTGAAAGAATGTAAGAGCCAGAGGGGATGGAGAACACCAAGAAAACAAGGTCCTCCACACCAATAGGATCAAAGTTCATATGAACTCACACAAGCACAGGGTCTACACAGGTCTGCACCAGGTCCTCTGCAGGCAGATCTAGGTCTAGATCTAGATATATGTTCAGTGTTTCTATAGGATTCCTGAGTGTATGAGCAATCACTATGCCTTCTTTGAGCTCTTTTCCTTCTGTTTGTCTTGTCCGACCCAAGATGTGTTAGTTTTGTTTGATATTATTATATTTTATTAAGATATAAATCCTTTTTTAAAAGGTAACTATCCAAAACAAGAAAAGAAAGAAAAAAAAGAGGTTTATGCTTTGGGCAGGTGCTACTAATTTTATGAACAATGCTAATCTACCAGTGAGTACCAGAGGAGCAGGAGTCTCTACCTACAAGACCCAAGACATGGAAAGTACTTGATCAATCTATTTGTTGAATTAACATTGGGATTACCTGAAATAAATCAGAATTTAAAAAATCTATTTTTAAAGTAATTTAAGTTCCAATCCAGTTTAGTAAAGTGTCTGTTAGATAGCTGATGTAATATCAATCAGTAGTAGGAAGAGTCTATTCTTCCAGAAAGACTAGCCAATTTAAAAAATGCTGATTTTGTTGGGGGGGGAGGGGGCGAAGAGATGGCTCAGAGGTCAAGCGCACTGGTTGCTTTTCCAGAAGTCCTGAGTTCAATTCCCAGAAACAACATAGTGGCTCTCAACCATCTCTAGTGGAATCTGATACCTTCTTCTGCCATAAAGGCATGCATGTAGATAGAGCACTCATAAACATAAAATAAATAAAGCTTTCTAAAAAATGCTAATATTTGCCAAATCTTTCAAAAATTTTTATTTGAGTGTGAGTGTGTGTGTGTGTGTGTATGTGTGTGCGTGTGTGCGCGCGCATATGTGCACATGTCTTTGTCCCGGGAGTTGTAACACACACGTAGGGCCAGACGACAGTTTGCAGGAGTTCTCTTCTTCTATGTAGGTTCATGGGACCAAACTCAGGCTGTCGGGTTTGGCAGCAAGCGGTTTTACTTGCTAAGGCACCCTGGTAGCCTTAAAGATCGAACAATGAACTGGTTGCTCTTAAATCTTGAAATAATTTCATCTGTTAAAGGGAAAAAGGGACTCATAAGAACACTACTCACTATTGTAATCTTAGCTGTTCTGGAATTCACTATATGCTCCAGGTTGGTCTTTAACTCACAGAAATCCACCTGCTTCTGCCTCCTAAGTTCTGGAATTCGTGTCTGGCAGTTATAAAATTCTTTTCTTTAAAAAAAAAAAAGTCAAGGCCAGGAGCTGGACCGATGCTCAGAGAGGTAAAGAGCACTCACTGCTCTTGCAGAGGACTGGAGCTTGACCATAAACACCACGTGGACAGATGACAACCATCTGCAACTCCAGTTTCAGGGGCTCTGATGCCCTCTGCTCACTTCCTCGGGCACCAGGCATGTACATGGTACACAGACACACGAAAGTTTAGATAAGATTCAAGGCCCAAATCTCCTATCAGCTGAGAGTGTCTACTTACACTCACTAACAGACCTAACACACGATCACACTGAATAAAAGTGTGCATACACTGGTGCACAGCAAGTACCACTGGGCTGTGGCTCTTTGGTTAGAGAGGAAGTTATACGAGCGGGAATCCAGCTGCCTTTGCAGAAAAGCCAGTACCAGGTGTGCCTGCAACAAGACTAGCAAGGAAAGACAGCTCTATCTGTGCTGACATGGACTCTCTCAGCAGAAGACCTCACCTGGCACGGTGCAATGCTAGCCCAGCTCCTGCACTTGGGAAGTTGTGACCTAAAACACCTAAGTAATGGGAAATAGGCTCAGGCAGAGAAGGCAGAAAACACACCTGCATGTTCTCCTTTGTTCTCAAACTTTGCTGTCTTGTTCCTTATTGTAGCTATGTGAAATAATTCTGGATTTTTCTTTAAAATAAAGAAAACAAGTGGGAGGTGGAGGTGGAGGGGAACGTGGGGAGAGGGAACAGGACTAGCACCAATCCCTGACAGTGTCCCTGAAGGTAAGATCTTAAAGGTATCTAAACAAGTAGAAAATTTGAGTGATTTAATTAAATATAAAGGCCATTAAAAACTAATAAATTATCACTGCCAACATTACTACTGCATGAGAATAGCAGTATTTACTGGTTCTGGGACAAACCCTGCCAACAAGCTCTAGAAAGCACTTTGCACCATTTTACAATGAATCCAGAGAACTGAAAAGACAACAGGATTCAGATACACAACAGCTCCTCTCACAGGTTTCAACAAAAATAAAAAGTAGGATCTTACACTAGTGACTTCCTTAGCATCCTACAGAGTATTCACAAATACCTCTAACATGACAATCTGCTTTGATTGGGGGGGCGGGATGAAGTTCACCCTGAATAGAAAGAAGAATTGGTCACAGCACCTGCCTCTTCCAGACCTGTGTACTGGGATACAGTGTTCAGACCTGTGTACAGGAATACACACAGTGTTCAGACCTGTGTACAGGAATACACACAGTGT